TGAAGACGGCGAAGAAACTATGGACTATGTATATTTTGGTGACCAAAAGTTAATTGTACCTGTTTATTGATCAGTCTTGGTTTGTATTAATAAAGGTAATTTAATGTATTGCAAATGTTAATGTTGAAATGCCTAATTGATATGTTTAACCTAGAGTGTAAGTGTGGTATTGTGTATGATAATGTATAACTGTTTTTGTGTGTTTTGATCCTGGTTGTTTTTTTTGGAGAAAAGCACTTTAGCTTTTCCCCTGCAAAACAACTTATAAAGAGGGGAGGTGTTACATACAGCACTGATGGTACCTGTCTGTCATGGGTTTGGAGGGAAAGTTCCATCCTATGGGGAGTGGAAGGCGGGACATCAGGGGGAGGAGCTGTACTGTATAAATGTTTGGAGCTGATGTGAAGAGTGAGGAGTTGGAGTCTGTGTGTCAGACTGAGTACAACTGTGTGTCAGTTAGTACCTACCTGATAGGTTCAGGTTTCTATGTGGGTAGCCAGAACTGATAGGTTCAGGGTCTGTGCTTCACTTTAAAGTGCTCTGTGGGTGCTAATCTGTTGTGTGTATATGATTGAGACTAAGCCACATTCCAGTATTCTGTTTACCTGATTCTTTTATTTACCCTGTTTGTTATTTCATTAAACCTTGTTCTTTTGTTTAGTAAAATCCATTCCTGGTCTGTTGGTGGCAGCATAATGGTTGGTGGCAGCATAATTAAAGTGTGGCATATTCCAGTAGGTCTGGGGTTGTCACAGGAACCAAACTAGTGACCTCTATAGTTGTGTGGATTTAAATGGTGTGTTTTCATCCCTAGGTGTTTGTGCAGTGAACGGCCTTCTGTATGTGGTTGGAGGTGACGATGGGTCTTGCAACTTGGCATCTGTAGAATACTATAACCCTGTCACTGATAAGTGGACATTATTGCCAACCAATATGAGCACTGGAAGAAGTTATGCAGGTGAGCACTGAGTCGAACCATTGTGGAGTTAAAGGGATGGGCCGGGTGAAGGCAAATTCCTCTGGCGCCTCTTGATCAGCTGCCAGCTATCTTCTGCAGACGCTAGAGAAATTTCTTTGCCAGAATTTATGTCAAAATGGTGGCGGCAGCTGGGAGGTTCATGGACTTGGGATCCCAAAAACTGTTCTATTACTTGACAGTGCTCGTGGGTGAAGTCTCACTCTTGAGAAAGATCTTTGGCTTTGTGACCAGCGGAAATTCAGCAGATGAATGTATTGACATTCTTTGTGCTGTGTAGTAGTAATTATAGGCAAAAGAGCTTGTGCCTGAAGGGGAGAAAAGTTAAAAGAGTTTAGGGGCACTTTAAAGGCTAACAAGTTTCGTTTTGCACTAGCTGCCCACTTCAGCAGGTGCACTGGATTTTGTCTCAAATGGAAGATACTTTGCCAATTGGGATGAAAATCTGAATTTGATTAAATGGACTGTGGTCCCGGAAGGCTTATTCCATATATATATCTTATTTGTGTGGGCGAAGAAGAAGAGGGGGGGATTGGAAGGCAAAAGGTAGAAACAGTGCATCTCATGAAGTGGACTGCACTCCGCCAAGGCTTATGCCAGATAAGCTGGTGCCCTGTCCCTGAATAACAGCAAATTAACACAGCCACCCTCTTGGACATTTCAACCCAGAAAGGAGACAGCAACCCAAGTCTTCAGGTCCTGAGCATTCTGTACATTCCGGTGCAGGTGATACATTGAAGGGCGCCTATTGAATGTGTCTGTGCTCTTTTGCCTTGCAGGTGTAGCTGTGATCCATAAACCGTTGTGACACACATTCACCTAAATGCAGGATGAAAAATGGTGCCTATCCAGCTTGCTGAGTTTTGGCAGATACTGATGTCTTTTAAACTGCTACACTGGTGTTGCACTCCAGCACGACAAGTACTTGCTTATTCCATCAACTTCTGCTTGGTGATCAGCAGTACAGCCGTGTGAAAACCCTGTGAACATAAGGATATATTCCAGAAATAAGGTGTTGCTTGGTTGTTGTTATTGTTTTAATTAATGTACAATCACGACTGAGCTGGAAGTGATCTCAAGGACAAAAGATAACGTTTTTCTCTTTGGCGTGGGAGAAGCAGCTTCTTGAAGCACTTCACTACTGAACTTGGTCTAGAACACATTTCCTATTTACTTATCACACCTCTTAGACAAATCTACTACTGAAACTGGAATTTTTGAAAGACCTGTCTGGAAAACAGGCCCAAAGGAAACAGATGGGGAGGTCTGTTTACTGTAAATGTATGATGAAGAGCACTGGAGAGATGCATCCTCTGACTTTTATCCTAGTCACGGAACTGATTCATCAGTTCTGTTTTATATATGGGAGATGATGAGCCAAGCAGTGTCTTTCTGGGGCAAAATCACACTTCAGTTACCCAAAGATCAATGGTTTTTCGTTTGGTTGCGGGAAGGTTATTGCTATTTCAAAATTAACTGTGCTCAAGTTATAATACTGTGTCTCTTGGCTGTTATCATGAATTCAGAAAGTTCAGGCTTCACCCACACTTGTTTTTTTAAAGGGATTTAGATACCATTAATGAGTGTGTTTTGAAATAATTGACTTAAGGTTGCCACCACATTCCAGGGAGACCTGGAATTTAGTGGCAAATTTCGGCTTCAGTAGGCTTTGAAAGTCAGATGAGGTACACTGATCACATCTGGGACATGCTCTGAGGATATTCTTATGAGTGAAGGGCTGAGAGAATGATTGACAGAAGTCTGCCTCAGCAAAACTAGGAGGTCAAGAGGCTTTTGAAAAATAATCCAGTGAATCCTAACTGCCTTTAAATTAGGAGAGAGTGAGTGCACCTATCTCTGAATATACATTCCTCTTGTGCATTTGGCTAAACATCAGTTGACCAAGATGATATTTCAATGCTATGAAAACCTTAAGGTTTATGACATACAGCCATTTAATTCTTTCAACTATTTTTCATAAGAGCTACCCTCTTAAATGTCCTGTTGTCATCATTATTTCTGTGTAAAGAAGTTACTTGAATATGTAAACATTTACTTTAAAAACGAAAGAGGTTTTTTTTTAAAAAAGTAGGGAAAGCCAAATACAATTAACTGATATGTATCAAAAGGAGTTCTAGTTTCTCTCATGTTCTAAATCAGTGCTCCCCAACCTTGGACCTCCAGATGTTCTTGGACTTCAATTCCCAGAAATCCTGACCAGCAGAGGTGGTGGTGAAGGCTTCTGGGAGTTGTACTCCAAGAACATCTTTAGGCCCAAGGTTGGGGACCACTGTTCTAAATGATCATCAATCTGAAAATAATTTTATTCCCAGAAAAGTTACATTCTTGTAGTTTCCACTTGCTTTGGTTTATGTGTGTATGTGCATGCATGGATGCGCATGCACATGCCAAAGAAAACACAATTGAAAATCTAATATCTCTTTTCCGCCCCACTCTCTTGTTGTGTACTCTTATAGACTGGTTTTCTTAAGTTAGAGCACTTAACATATTTTCTATGCAGATAGTTTTTCTATCACTTAAACCATTTCTGAACTTTCAGCAGTGAAGCAGAAAATCAGTAAGGCTGGAGGATTTTTAATAAGGGCTTTCATCCATCAATTAGACTTAAAATAAAATATTGTCCTTATTTCCCAGCTATATCATACAGTACCTTTTGATGCCGATTATTATAGTAGCAAAACATAAATGAAGAATGCACCTAGAGAAACCACAATTGCAAAGGTGAGCAAGATGCTGATCGTTGCTTGCTCAATGTGTATATGTATTTTAAAAAAGGCAAACATAGCAGTTTCTTCATGTTTCATCCTCTATATTTTCTGCTGGTGTGGGCTGTCACAAATTGATTTCACACACTTGGAGGGAGGAATCTCTTCCATGCAAATGCTTTTCTGGATAGAAAATTCTGAGCTACCGTATATATACCAAAGTCCTATTCCATAGATTACACTGTATCATGCTGATGACATCATCAGCCACAGCAATTTTCCAGAAATAAAACATTTCCATTTCCATCCTGCCAAAGGTCCTGAGGCTCCTGTGGAATCCCTTTCATGGTTGGTGATAAAGTCATGCCAACGGTGGTGATTTTCAGTAATTAAAGGCATGTCATCCCCCAATGGCTTACTGACAAGGAAAGGACTTCCACGGGAGCCTTGAGACCTTTGTGGGGAGGAACTGGAAGTGTTTCATTAAAAAAAAACACCATGGCTGATGTCATTATCCATCTGATACAGTGTATCTTACACAGCAGACTTTCGGCCATTGTCTCTAACATTGTCTCTAATCTTCTGTGTTGCATCTGTAATATCGAAGGAGCAAATACCCAGAAACATTTGCTATTGCTTTTATGTGATAAAGTGTATGATTGGGCACATGCCCAGGAGCACAACCAGCACCTCTTTAATGAGTAGCAGTTTGCTGCCATGGCATACATGATTTCCTTTATACAAGTATAAATCAGCAATAGGATTCTTGACTCTGAACTTAAACTTCCAATGAGATTTGTCACTCTCTAATATTAATTTGAGGGATTAACTGAGCAGTTAGAGGCCATTCACATATTATAGTGATGTAGATGTTGTTACAGATGATGAATAGACATGTATCCTCCCTTTACCACCAAATCTATATGCCAGTTGTAGTTCATGTTGATGATCTCAAGTGTAATTTTGAGCCAACTTTTTAAAATGTCAGTTTTGTTTCCATAAAACATCTGAAGGAGAGAAAAACCCATAGCATATTGGTGATTCATAAACAGTCAACAGCCATATAAAATGGTTGGTCTCAGCTAAGAGCCACTTATCACTAGCAGATATTATATGTCACTCCTTATATGTGTAAACTTGCAGGGCTAATGCAAGTCAAGTGACCTCATTTTTCAGCTATGCAATATTCATAATGGCTCCACAACAACCAGCTGCAATAGCCCCTTTGAATTGCTTTTGAAATATCTTACATTGTGTGTGCATTTTTAATATTTGTACTGTGCATCTGAGCCAGATCCTTTCAAATATTGCCTTTTTTGGCAGCTTGAAAATATAACTTCAGAGCTAGCAAATTGTATTGTAGTTATTTTTGTAAAAGGATTCATAAGAGTTCTTGGCTCTGTTTTGATTTGGTGGCTTTATGATTAGTGTCTAATCCTTACACCACGGGCCCAGTTCTCATCAGCCATGTGTGTATGATGGCTTCTATACTTTTGCATGAAAAAAGAGAGCAATCATTTGATTTCTCTTTACTTTATTAATTGGCCACTGCCAGACTCAATGTCAGTTAACAAAGGACCATTACCTCCATGATCAATAATTTCATGAATGGCTGGATATATAAAACTACTTTTTAAAAAAATGATGTGGTATTGATTCAACTCAAACAGGGCACCAAGGTTATTGCACTCTGTCTCTGGTTCCCCTGTTTGAACAGAATGTGCTTGGAAGCAAAACCTTAAAGATAAAATCAGAAGAAACAATAGCACTGGCTTCTGTTATCCTTTTAAGTCTTTGTTTACCTGGAACACTAATTTGAGATATTCTTTAAAAAATCACAACCCACTTCTACAAATATTTTTTTGAAATTGCTGGGCAGCCTCTTATCCAAAAGTTGGCTTGTATGGTCACCCTAAAATGACCTTCCGTAGATCAGTGATTTAATTTCATACCTAAACAGCATATCCAGACACTTGCATAGGTACCTACGTTCCACACATGCTGACAACTTCGCAAGTTTTCGCTTTAGAGATCTCCGTCAGAAAACCCTCCAAATGTACTTTAAAAATCTCAAGCTTAAAACTTTATCTGGCCTGACATCAAAAGAAAATTGTAACTAGTACACATGTGTCCCTTTCCCATTTACTTTGCTCTGTCTCATAGCATATCTCCAACCTGTGTTTCTAGTATGGGAAATGTAAATAGTGTTTTTTGAAGGTTTCAGGCAGCCAGATCTTGTTCCTCTGGATGATAATGTGAAGCATTGCCTACAAGTGAATTCAGAACCGTATTGCTGCATTTATACAGAAACCTGAAATGAAGCTATTTTCACTGCCCTAATAGTCTGAACTAGCCGCTGGTTGTATTTGAATGTTGTATACCAGGTGAGTTGAGTAAAGATAATTCAGTTCAACTGGATCCTCTTTTACATTTAACTGTGATTCGGCTAGCGTTGCACAACTAAGCAGAGAAAACTTACAATATTTTTGCACAAGTTATACAAAAACTTTTGCTGTACTGTAATTTAAGAAACTTACAATTCAAGTAGTTGTGTTTATCCAAAAGCTTTCTGGATTTTTTTCCTATTAACCTTTAGGACAAATGGATACACTAATGCAATATGATTAAAGTTGATTCAGATTTGAAACGTTGGTGACTGATGTGAAATGTTGACTCCTATGAAATGGCACTATTTAAATGTAGTGATTCTGTTGCGGTGTCAAGACATTTGCAGGTTCTGCTCAATGATATTGGAATAGTCTATCAATCCTATAAGAATTGTAAGAGACTACTGCTGAAATCATAGTGGCTGCATTCAGATAAACTTTGGACATACAAATGTCTTACTTCCGTTGCCTGGCCCCTTTCTGACTTTCAGATTGCATGTCTCAGCCAGGTTCTGAAGCCAGAGTGTTTCCGAGTTTATGGGCAAACCATGGTTTGGGCAAATCATACTTTGTTCCATTTGGACAATGTGGCAAACAAAGATGTTTAGAAATGCCCTGTCTTGGTGCCTACAAGATACTTAGGGACTACAGTTCCCTGCATGCTGGTTATAGCTGATGGGAAGACTGGTTAAGAAAAGGTGTCAGGGAAGGGAATGAGGAAATCTGAAGCTTGACTCTGGCCATACAAATGACACTAAACCAGGGCATTATGCCCCAATACTCTCACTGAGCTTAAGAATCTGACCAACCATCCTTTTTCATGGGGTCCTAAATTATTTTATTTTTCCTGGAGAAATAAATCCTAACATTTTTGATTTGTAAATATATGTATAAAATATGTTTTAAGACTAACAGAAGATTGTAAAAGTGTTCAACTTCGATGCACAACTTTTTTAAAAATAAAAATAAAATAAACTGAAATAAAATGTAGCTGTGATCCCTATGCCAGTTAATTCAACATACTAACATTTAGATGGGGTTTAATAGCCCAATCCCATAAGTATTTATTCCGAAATAAGTCTCATTTTTTTAGTGAGACTTATGTCCAAATAAATATGTATAAAAAACTGCAGTCTTAGTTATGCTTTATCAATCATACCACACATGGCACCCATTTGTTTGCTCTTTATTATAGCTAGCCATTGTGATGGGGCTAGCTGGTCTACCACATAATTCTTTTATTTTCCATTTCAGCATCAAAACTTAGAATTAAAATCCATTACAAAGTACGTGTGGCAACATAAAGTTCTCTGTTCTCCAGCATGTTGGACTTTGGTTAAATAAAGCTGAGCAAATGACAATTGACCTTGTGTTTATTCTGATTTTGCCAATAGTTTCATGTGACAATGAGTGGAAACATGGAATTGGGAACAGATATTTAAAAAAAGTAACACATTTTCAATAGTTCTGATTATTCTCTGCATCCATGCAGCTGGGTCCCTTTTCATAAAAGCCATTTTAGTGTCAAAAATAAAGATGGACACAAACCTCAGTTTGGAGGTTAGTGCTGGACTTTCAGACAAGCACCATAGGTGCTGCACGTTCCATTCTCCCCTCTGGCCAGATCCCACCACCACCACCAGCTGGCATGCACTTTTCTCCTCCTTCTCTTTGGGTGTTTTACCAGTCCTGGCTGGAAGGCATGCTTCCCTCCTCCACCTCCTCCAGTAGCCGCCCACTCAAAAGTCTGTGCTGCAGGAATCTCTGCCTTGCCTCCTTGTCTGAATGAGCAGTTACTGGAGGAGATGGCAAAGGGAAGCATGTGTTCCTGCTGGGACTGGCCAAATGCCTGAAGAGGAGGAGAAGAGCAATCCACACTGACTGGTGTGGGGGATCCGGCTGGGGGGTACGGGAAGGGAACGTGTGGCACCTGTGATGCCAGTCTGACAATCCAGTACAGACCTCCAAACTGAGGTTCATGTCCATTTCTAGTCAAAAGGTAGACATTTGTTATATTGCCATAGCAGCTGAGTAAAACATGCTTTCAAAAACTATATTGAAGCTTTTTGTACAATGCACACACTTTGAAATGGACAAATAAGTAACAATACTTGGG